AGGCTGATGAGCCCCAATATCTGGTCCCACAACTCAGAGCTAGGATTCTCAGCTGTTCAAGATCCTGTATTTCTCACCAACTTGGTAGAGCCTTGAGAGTCCCTTAGGATGGACCTGCTTGAATGAAGGAACACCAGGTACAAGCTTCAAGGCCGTTTCCAGGTTGCCTTAGCAGGCACTCAGGTAGACTCAGTTGTGTTCTGGACTTAGGGTCCTGAGATGCAGACCCATCCTCACTGGGGTGGCAATGGAGCTAACACTGGGAAGTGTGGAGATAGCTGCCTCCATGTGTTTGCTGCAGGGACTTGGGGGGTGGGGTGCCAGGATGTACCAGGCTGAACTATTCCTGCTCCATATTGTCCTTGTCCCTCACCTGGCTGCAGGATTTGGGGAAATCCTAGAGACTGCCAGAGCTAGGAACTCCCATCCCCAGAAGCCCTGGATGTGAAGGCCCCTCTTTGTGGAAGGTGGTTCATCCTCTGGCCACCCAGGCTCCCAGAAGCTCTGGTTGACCGAGAGAGAAGTGCCCAAAGATTCCCCCTACTTATACCCTGCAGTCCATGCCTGGGGCCTCCCGAGTCTCCCTGGTGATGATTAATAATTGCTTCCTGCCCAGAGCTTATCAGCTCTGGATTTCAGGGTTGTCACAATCTGATCAATTGCTCTTCATCCATGCCTGGCACATAGTAAGCACTTGTTAAATGGTATGGCCTGGGCCAAGGCCTGGGAGGGGACCACCTTTCTGCAGCCTGGCTGCCCTCGTGGCCAGAAAACCTCCCTGGCCCAGTCCCCTCCCTGGCTCATGGCTGCAGCTGAATGCTCTGGCTGACAGTTTCCTGCTTGGAGCCTCCGGAGCAGCCACCTCTCCCCTGAGAAGCCCTTTTGTTTAGGCTCCCATGATGCCCCCCTGCCCAGCTCATGAGGCAGGCTCCCCCTGCAGCTTCTTGTGGCAGGCGGTCCTGACGCTTTGGAGCTGGTGTTCTTCTTTCCTAACAATAATAGTAATAAAGTAGCAGCAGCCACTTGTTTCTTGAGTCCAGTAACAAGCACCCTACAGACATCTGTTCTTCAAATGCTCCTAGCGAATGCCAAGAAAAGAACGTTAGCCCATTTTACAGGTAGGGACACTGAGGCTCAGAGAGGGAAGCCCTCTCCTTTGCATCCCATGGCGAGGAAGGGGCAAAGGCAGGATGTGAACCCAAGTTTGGGTGATAGCTCCAGGGGTCATCTGGGTGGGTCTCAGTGGCTTTCTTGGAGCCCCACTGTCTTTATGTCAGTCCGTGGGAGTTGGGAACATGACTCCAGAGACTGTGGAATGGCAGCCCACCTTCTCCAAGGCCAGGAGTTCATTCATTCCTACAGAGACTAATATTTTTGGAGCACCTCCTCTGAGCAGGCCCTGGGGAGTCAGCAGGAATAAGACGGACTCTCAGCCCTCAGGGGGCGCACATCCCGGGGAGAAGAGAGATGGACTGTAAGTGATATCGCTCAGGTTTAGCCAGCGTTTGTTAGCAGAGTGAGCAGTGATCTAATCCCAGCTCTGCCCCTCACTGGGCAAGCCACTTCTCCCGTTCCCGCTTTCCAGTCTATAAAATGGGCATAATGATAAGACTTCCCCCTCCAGTGGATATGTGCCAAGTGTTTAGCACAGAGCAGGGCAGGTAGAAAGCCTGAAATAGTATCATTTATTATCATTTTTGTTTTCTTATTTTCACCCTGTGTTGGTTTTCCTGACCACTTGGTGGGTTTGGGACCTGGACAGAGTTACTGATGACTCTAGACTCCAGCAGGAGTTGAATGAGACCCTTATAGCCCCTCTTCTGGATCTTATTCATTTGATAAACATTCACTGAGAAGTGAGTCCTCCTTGTGGTGTGCATTGGGCACAGATCAGGCATTTTGGGAGTGCCTCCTGGGTGGGGGTTTCCAGTAATCACTAGCTGTGGGACCTCTGTGTGCTTCAGTTTTTCCATCTGTAAAATGGGAGCAATAATTGGAGCTACTGCCTAGGGCTGTTGTGAAGCTTGGGAGAGTTAATGCTTTGCAAAAGTAGTTACAAAAATGCCTTGTGTATAGCAAGTGCTCAGTAAACATCACTGTTCTTATGGGGGGAAGTGCAGTGGGGGGCACGGCAAGGAGGTCTCCCAGCCATTGCCCAGACAGCAAGGGAGCTTGGATTGTGTGCAGCAATTCTGAGGAAGGTTCCTGCCAGGGTTTGGCCCTGCAGTTGGGCTTCAAGACTCCGACATATGGGGGCGGACAGGGACAGGTGTTCCAGGCAAAGGAACAGGCATGGACAGAGGCCCAGGGTGCCCAGAAGGTAGGTTGGCTCAGGGGAGGTGACCACTGAGTGATGCTGGCTGCCAGGCCTCTGCTGGAAGAGCCAAAAGTTGCAAATCCAACTGATCTCTTGCATTCATATGTTCGTTCATTCATTCAGCAGGCATTCATTGAGCTCCTTCTGTGTGCTAGGAACTGGAGACAGGGCAGGGAAAGATTCCTGGCCTCATGGAGCTCACAATCTGGTGAGGAAGTGGCCACTAATAACATCATCATAACTGTTGGACATAGTGTGTGACCAGTGTGCTAAAGGACAAGCTCAGGACCCAACTTGGTTGGTGAGCACAGGGGGGGCTTCTGTTATGTGTGACTGGAAGCAGACAGCAGACAGTGCAGGGGGAATGGCTGACGCCAACACCCAGAGGCAGCTGGTGTGGCTGGGGAGGTCACATGGGTTGTGTAGGTGGGGCAGGAACCTGGGTCTGGAATCAGTGCTCTCTGGGCACCTGTATCAAGGCCTGGGTGTGGGGGACTGTGGTGCTGACAAAGGACAGATGTGGCCCCTTTCCTTCCCTTCTGCTTGACAGCTTTGACTGAGTACATACTGTGTACAATGTGCTTACTGTGTACAAGTGCTGAGGACTGCAGGCACAAAGGTGCGGAACATTTGTGATGTGCAGAAATGCTACCTGTATGTCAAGCATCTTCCCAGTGAGTACAGAGGCACCTATTTGCACTGTCTGGGCTGTCCTGCTGTGATTAGCTGTAGGGTCACCACCATGGCCAGGAAATGGCAGGGGAACCCTTGTCATTGCTGCTGCCCTGTAGGTATGCCCAGCATGATGGGGCCACACAGAGAGAAGGAGATTCAGAGAGGTCCAGTCAGAAGTGAGAGCAACATAGCTCATATGTAGCCCCTTTGGAATGTGAACCCTCAGAGAGCAGGGATTTTTGTCTTGTTCACCATGTATCCCAGGACTTAGCCCAGTGCATGGCGCACAGTAGGCCCTCAGTAACATTGGGGGGGGGAGGGAATGGATGGAGGTGGCATTGGTACCCAGTCCCACGTGGTTCTGTGTATTGTGCTCCTAACCACTGCCCGGTGAGGGTCACTGGAGTGGCACTGTTCCTTCAGGGTGTATGTATCATGAGTCTCTTTGTGCCTGGCTTTGTGCTGGAGTGGGGAGAGCATTTCTCATTCTCCATCCTGAAGAGCAGGCATGGATATGTGGTTCCCAGCAGAGGCCCAGGCCCAGGCCCAGCCAGGCTTAGGAAGGAAGGATGTCGGTACCGATGGGTAACTATAGAGGGCCGAGCTGTTCAGCACCGTGGACAGCAGAGTGGTGGGGGGCTTAGTGCCATTTTGATTGGTGTCTAAGAAAGGCCCCTTGGGCAGTGGGAGGGGAAGGGAGCCCCAGCTGGGACCAGCAGACAAAGGTTGCTTGTCCTGAAAGTCCCCCATCAGAACAGGAAATACCTTTGTGCCCCTTGTGAGTCTTGTTCATTTATTCCTTTTTGTTTTTGTTTTATACTTATTTTTGTAGTCACCAATAATATATTCTCATTGTAACATTTAACTAACAATAATAGCAGCTAGTTCTTATTAAGCTTTCCCTGGATTCTAAGGCCTTTATATCTATTAATTCAATTAATCCTTATAACACTCCTATGGGGTAGGCATGATCATTGTCCCATTTTATGGATGGGGAAACTGAGGCAGAGAGAAATCAAGTAATTCATTCAAGGTCACCCAACTAGTAAGTGGTCATGCTGGGATTTGAACCCAGGCTCCAGAATCCGTGTCCCTAACCATGTTTTCTAGACATAAGTAGTAGCAGTCTTCCTTGACAGTAATTACTCCCCTCTGCACCTCCTTTCTAGTTCCTTCCCAGAGTTCACCACTGTTTCAGGACAGGTTAGCTTCTGCCAGACCTTTCCTGCACATCATTTACCAGCATTTAAATATGTTTATGTACATATAGAAATGGGTAGTTTAGTTTATATAAGTAGGATCATACAGTTTGTGTTGTTTTCTAGTTCCTTCCCAGAGTTCACCACTGTTTCAGGACAGGTTAGCTTCTGCCAGACCTTTCCTGCACATCATTTACCAGCATTTAAATATGCTTATGTACATATAGAAATGGGTAGTTTAGTTTATATAAGTAGGATCATACAGTTTGTGTTGTTCTGTGGTTTGTTTTTTTGCTTAATGTGTGCCTTAGAGCTCTCTACTGGAGGTGGTAGAATAGATCTTCCTCATCTCTCCAACTGCCGCGGAATATTCCAGCCTATAGATGTACTGCAGTTTATTTCACTAGTCTCCAAATAATGGGCATTTAGATTGTATCTAATTTTTCCATATTATAAACACTGCAGCCAGGAATTGTCCTGTACGTGCCTCTCTGTGCATAGTAGTAAATATTTCTCTTGGATACTTAAAAGTGGGATTACTGAGTCTAAAATGGATCCTGCCAAATTGTCCTCCGAAAAGGCCATACCCCTCACAGAACCAGCAGTGCTGTAGGGGAGTGCCCACTTCACTGCATCTTCACCAGCACTGGAGATTATCAGTCATTTTGGCTTTTTGACGTTGTGCCGGGTGGATTGCCTGGCTCGTGGTGGTGTTTTGGGGACGTCGTCTTCTCACCTGTGTGCTCACCCCTCTGTTGCCCACCCGGCATCGTGTCTTTCAGCCTGGCCGCCCCACCTCGGTCTCCGCCATGAACGGGCCCACCCTGCAGCCTTCCTCTGCGTCGTCCTCCTCGGCGTCCTCAGCCTCCCTGCCCACAGCGGCGTCCCCGTCCCCGCGGGGCTGGAGCGAGTTCTGCGAGCTGCACGCGGTGGCTGCAGCCCAGGAGCTGGCCCGCCAGTACT